AACAATGAGAAAAAGACATTATTCATGTAAATATTTAAAATCTTTTTTGTATCTTTATRGCCTTGCACACTAAGCTGTCCTTGGAAGGCCGTCATGACTTCCAAGGTGTTATTTTGATGGTGCGAAGGCCACCATATAATTATTATTATCAAAGCATAACAAAAGTAGTGATATACTTAATGAAGTATTGTTGTCTTTTAATAGGATATTTGAATCCAGGTAAAGAATGTTAGCAAAGTGTATTCAGTAAGGGGGTCTTTCAGTGTATTTAAATGTATGTTCCAACTTTGAAAAATTAATCTTAGACATGGAATTTCTGTCTGATTTAAATAGTATTGCCAAACACTTCAGCAGAACTCAGGTTGTCTTTACAGTTGTGGGCAGAACTTTGGGTGCAGGTTACTGTATCAGTTCTGTCTTGGTGTGCATAACATTGTAAGTTGTGTAAGTTGGAGGGACAGCATGCTGATTTATGTTGAAAATGTTCCACCATCATCTAGAATAACTTCAAGAGTCTGCCAGGGTTTTTGGTACTATTGAATCTCTGCTCGCTGACCTTGCTTCCTCCACATTACAGAACGCCCAGCATGGCTTTATTGGTTCCTACAGAATCTCATCTTGAGATTTGTGTTAAGTTGTTTAACAATTTCCTTTTTTTCCCTTCTTGTGGAAATCTTGAAACTCAGAAGTTAACTTCTTTTTTTTTGCTAATGAGCAAATTTTATGAGATCTATACCACTCATTCATCACACAAGAGTAATGTGAAGCTAATTTATGACTGTTAAATTAGTGGCTGGTTTGAAATTGTAGTATACTTCAATGCATGCTTAACCATTTTTGAGCTTAAAAAAAAAAAAAAAACCTAAAGTGGTGACCTCATTTTTTAATACTATATTTGTTATTATGAAAGTATTTTTTTGGAAGTAGGATAGTATCATTCAGATGGAGGTTACTGCAAACTTTAAACATGGTGTTTTGAGTATTTTTGCTAAGTACATATGCCTTATGCATATCATTCTGGAAGTTTTCAAAAGGTTAACAGGGCTGCAAATGTTCACTGAGTTTCCTTGTCATGTCTAGCAGATTCACTGCTATTCACTAGCAGATTCATTAARCAGATTCACTAAGTATTTTCTTGTTGCCACTTACAGATGTATACTGTATTGTAGGCAAATTGATTTGCCATTTCTTTGCCAAAACTAATGGGAATTAAATAAGACAAGAGAAATAATGTATTCTTAATTTTAGTGTGGAAAAAAATGGAATAGGGAGTTCTGATAGATACCTATTTGAATTCTGATATGTTCCTCCTGAGTTTGAGTACCTCACTGCCAGTGAGCTGTGAGGAACTGCCAGTGGGTTGATSCAGGTGAGAGCAGGCATGGAAGTCAGATAACTTCCTTAGGTGCCAGGTAGTTTCCTTAGGTGTAGCTCAAGCACCTCCTGAAGAAACTGCTCTCTATGGATAGATGCTGTTCTTCAGATTAACACATTGGCAGATCACAATCTGTTGGGTTGATCTTTTTGTGTCTTTTTTGAGCAATTAGTAGCTCTTTTTGGGGATGAGTCTGTTTATTGCAAAGAGGATTTGGTTAAATAATGACCTGTATTGGGGAGTGTTGCTGGTGGGCAGAAGCATAAGGATGTAAGGGATTGTTCATGAAAATTTGTTTCTCCAGAACTTGAGCAGAATTGTAATACTCTTTCAGGAAAATGAAAATATGTAAGATTATTAGAGAAACTGTGTTCATAGTGCTTCRTGAAACACTGCACGCTGGTCTCAGAAAGTAGATATGTCATTTGGAAGGGAAAATATGAGCATCTTTCACTGTAGGAGCCAGAACTTTCACCGTGGTTTTTGCCAGTCTTGAGGACTCTTCACTGTTCCTCAGTTGAAGAGGAAACTCTATTTGCTTATGACAACTGAACTTCTCATTTTTTCAGTGAACATGGATGCTAGGAGTTTTWCTTTGTCCTGGTTTGTGGAATTGTCAGTTAAGGTGAATTTGTGGATGGAAGTGGATGGAATTTGCAGTTGCTTTGTGCCTTTTATAACTTTCCTYGGGAGCAGGAGGAGGTGCAGAATGCCTCTGTAGTCCTCACAGAAATATCTGATGGAAAAACTCTGAACTTGGATGTGGCATATGAATGCCTATGCTGAACCCACACGTACCAGTGCAAATCAAATTAATTTTATTSTAGGCTAAAGCAATGATGACTTTTCAGTTATGCCATAAGTGTTGAAAGGGGTCGCTAAAGATAGTGCATCAAATATGGTAGCTTGGTAAAAATGAAACAGCAATTTTGAGTACTGCTTTTTATTTTCTTACATAACTGCTTTGGGTAACTGCTTCTTATGTAATTTATCTGACTTGATGGAAATGAKGGAGTCTGCTCTGCCTGTAACTGCTGAGGAGCTGACTGCACATTTTTCCTGTAAATGATATTGCTGGACATTTGAAATAAAGCAAAACAAGGGAGAACTAGGTAGACTAATTTAAGTAGGATAATTTACATAAGAGATTGTGTTTTTCATCTTGAGAAAATTATCAAAGGCTATGTTATTGTCATATTCTGTAATTGGAGTCAGGCATTCTGTAACTTTCATTTTGTAATATTAATTTCTATTGACTTTTGAGGATTTGAAGTGTGTGTGAGAAGATGTTGATTGAAAGCAGATGGAACAATATTTCTGAAAACGATAAAAGATGAAAAATTAGGCCTTAGATTGCCTTGGAAATTCTTAAATACATCTGAAAATCCAAAGCTGTTTGGTGGGARTAAGAAGAGATAAGATGAAACTTAAGGATACCTGCCAGTTGGGGTTTTTCGTGCTCCTGGCGTGCATTGCATTCCCTTGCAAAGTGCTGGATTAGGCAGCCTTCCTYTGGGAGCTGGAGGGATGTTGCTGCTTCACAGGTTGGTTCCTGAGCCTGTCCTGGTAGAGAACAGTGAGGCTGCAGGGTGCAGAGTGGTCACAGCAGAGGGACCCTTAGTTCGTGCCTGGGAAGAGTGAAGGGACTGCAGGAAGGAGCACTGAGAAGGCAGCRATGCCTCCGAGGAGGAGGAATGATTTGTTGGAGGCCAGAGGCGACTGGGGAGGGTTGGCTTCCAGGCAAGGAGTTGGGCGTGATTGCTCTAAATGTATCATAAAAGGGAAAATAAGTTGATTAAAGTAGTTTTAAAGTGATTTATTTATCTATTTAGATATTTATTTAGATATTTAACTAAAAAGAAATGAATCAGGCAACTTTAAAACTGAGATCTACATTTTATATTTCATCTTGTCCTGTGTCAGTTATTTTTTAATTGCTTTACGTTTGTACCTACGTAACRAACAGTAAAGATCTGTTGCTGAATGTGGATTTGATTGTGACCGCAGATGTGTTTCTGTGATTTGGTGACAGGCTTTTCTGCAGACAAGTTTTATGTTTTTTGCCTTATATCTGGATTATGAGCAAATGTTTATTGAAGGGATACCCGTTCTCTTGAGAAACTGTATAAAAATGGAAGATGAACATGTGAGATATAATTTCTCTATGCAACATTGGCTTTCTTGTAGACAATATTATATAATCCATATTTTATTTGACACTGATAAAAAATGCTGTCAAATTTGTAATGTTTTTGTGGCAATGGATGCTAGTTTATTGTAGGGAGGAGATCCTTTCTGTTTTTGTAATGTGAATTTAGGCAGTCACGGGCTGAAGAAATGTGATTACTCAGCTTATTGTACTTCATTAAACACTTCTCTGTTGTCAGAATTCTCTTCTGAAATAAACATTATTTTTCTAAGTGCATCATTAGAAACAGACCACATGCCACTTTTTCCTTTTTGAAAGTTCTATTCTAAGCTCTGTTCAATATGCCAATTCATTTCCTTTTCTACATTCTTATCATTTTCTTTAACGTTGATCGACACCTACGTACCTTCTCATTGATCACAAAATGTTTATTAGGCAGAGTCCGTTTAAGTGAACAGAACCACAGACCTTGTCACTTGTCAGAGCCATGATGTAAGAACACAGTCCAGGAAAAAGGACTTAACAATTTACTCTCGAGTTTCCAGAATGAAAAGTCATTTCCTTCCTCAAAGCTGGTGTAGTTTGCAGGTGCTCAGGTAATGAAACTGCCCATCAAGCCACCTTAAGGTTCCCAAAAAAATCAAACACATGATTGGGCTAAAATTTTGCTGCTGACTGAGAAGGAAACAGATTTCACATGGGCAGAGTTTTTTACCCACTCTTCTTTTTCCAGGATTCCCATTTTTCTTTCCATATCTTTTTTTTTTTTTTTTTCAAGAGAAAATGACTGCTTCTTAAAATTTCTTCTTTGAATATGAAATGAATTTCTTCATTCTCTTTGAGCTGCCCTCCTACTTTATTCTGTAGCCATTCTAGATGCTTCCTATTTCATAATGCGGTTTTTATGAAGTACTGCACAGAAACAGTGCTAGTAAGTGAAATGCTATAACTAACCATCAATAATAAATCATTTTTCCTGTAATGGGGTCTGGCATTCACCATTCCTGAAAGTCCAGCTGTGACCTAGATCAGATTGTTCCCCGTTATTCAGTGACTCTAACGTTTGTCTCTTTCTCTTGTCAGAGGTTATATAAAAGGTTGAAGGGTGCGATTCATGAAGCTGTTAGACAAATGTAGCATATTTCATCAACAAGGAATTTAAAGCAGAGTCTGACAGAGTATAGAGGCTGAAGAAGTGAGGAATGGAGAAGTGTATTAATTTTGATGAGTCTAGGAACATAAATTCTGAGCAACAGAACTACTGAAATAGTTCACTGTATGTGAAATAGTTAATGTGCCATATAGATGTCAAATCTCTTTACTTTGTGCTTGTTTGTCATAATGCATAATTCTCTTAGTTTTCTCCGATAGTGTTTATGCATAGATTTCTTTTAGCATTGTTTGGAATTCATTGTTAGTGCTCATGACAGCATCAGTATCATTTGTCATTGTAACCAGTTATTTGTTTTATTTAAGAACTGCCTGAGACTACCTTAATTGAAGAGGACATACAGGAGACAGAGACATGGGCCAGGCCTCTTATACACCTTTGGCAGAAGAGAGCACATAATTTCAAGGCTGAAAAAGAATATAATGCAGCCTGTGCCAAAAAGGAGCCGCACTGTGCTATCTGCACACTGCTCATGCCATACTACAAGGTAAGCGAGGTCCTTGCAGTTTAATTTTTCAGTGAAATGTGAAATAGCTGCCCAGCTACTTAACTCCTGGTAAAATGGTAAATGAGAATCAGAGAAACTTACGTGTTTGATTTATATGAAGAGTAAATGAACCTGATATGGCTGAAATTAGAACTTACACTCCATCCACCTGCATTTAGCATTAATTGTCAGTGTTATTTACACTCTAGGGTCTGTGGAGGATTGCTATTAAGGCGTGTATGCATAGTGTTGCAGACCATAGGGCAGTTCTGAAGRTGGTGAATCCACATAGATTCATATTTTCAGACACTTCCTTATCGGTCCTTCTCCTTGAGATGCTTTTGCTTTGAGCTGCTACCATTCCTCCTTCCAGCAGTGTTGAAGAAATAACTATTTTCACAGTGCCATGGCCTTCTCAAGAATAATAGTCTTACAGGAACAGTCTAACCCACAGCGCTGCTTAACATAAGGCAGGGAAAATCKTATATTGAATATCAGTTAAAAATGCTGACAGAGTGCTGTTTGTTTCCTAAAATGCATTGCTTTCAGCTTGATAAAGTATTTAACCTGAGAAAATGACTTTCCAGGGCTGTTACACACCAGTATAGTACTTTTTTAACATAAACACACTAAACACCATTGGTTTTTTGGTGTTGTGTCATCATCACTGTATTATGAAAAAAATACACTGAATTCTAAATAACAGGCTGACAGGCTTTGCAGAAGCAAACTTTTCATATGAATCTTTTTGTAACCTGTGGTGCTTTTACCTGTGGTACAGTTAACACTAGTACATGTACAGAAAAATACTTATTACTGCAGCATTCCCATTTTCAGGAGAGTTGCAGGCAAAACTTGATAATATTTTGAGTGCATATATAGCAGATATAAAAACCCTTAAAAATAAGACTATACAAAATATTTTTATGAATGAGTTTGGTTCTGAAGAACTTCAGGATGTCAGAAAATAGAGTTACCTGCTGGATCTCATCCACTCCACAGACCTGCAAAACAGAGTGGCCCCTGATGGAAAATTAAAAAGTACTTTGGGCAAGAAAATAGTAAGTGTAGCATTTAGAAATGCTGAGCTGTCCAAACTCAGAAATCCTGAACTGGTGTAATCTACAAAATTTCATGGTAACTCGGCTGTAATTTCCTGCTGTGTGCCCTGACACAGTGCCAGGGATTGCTGTCTGCTCTTCCTCCTTCATTGCAAATTGGAAAGGCTCTTAATGGAGAAGCCCCCTCTGCGTAAGGATTAGGAAAAAGACTCTCTTGACCCTTGCAGGAGTCAGGGAAGCAAGCTGTAAAGTGGGTTGGTACGGATTTCTCTCTTCCCCGCAACAGCCCTTGCTGCTGTCTGTGCCCATGTTCCCAGTCTTGGAAATGTTTGTGTATTTCCAGTGAGGGAAACTCTTCATGGCAAAAGATGGTCTACCAGCTTACCCATTTATTTTTGTGACAAAGGAGGGCATGATGAGTTGAAATTCCCAGTCAATTAAATCAGCCATCATGAGAAAGTGCTGCTTTGTATGATTGTCCTTCCCACTTGACAGAAAAACACCAGATGTGTCAGCATTACCYGGGAGTTCCTGTCCCCACTGCCTGGGATTTTAAGGTCTAGCAGCTTCACTCTTAGCTGCCCTGGGCTCAGCCAAAGAGCTCTTAGGGAAACAGTTATACATAGAGCAACGTTGCAATAGCACCAATTTTTAGTCTGCTATTTTTTGATTTTACAGTGTTGGAATAGTCCAGAAAYTGTAGAATTGCATCTAGGTCCCCAGAAGCATCAATTTTCTTATAAAACTGTTACATAGTGCAAGAAGTGCAAGAACTGTGAGGGGAAAAGTTATTTCACCATTATCAAGATGAACATTAAGTGAAGTTCTTTCTTTTAATTAAACACTTTGTTTTAGTTAAATATATATATATWTTTTTTTTTCCTTTCCCAGCCAGACAACCATAATGATGACAGTTATACTTCTGGGGAAACAAACTCTGAAAAAACATTTATGGCTGAAAATGAAAAGACTAAACCACTTATCCCAGAGATGTGTTTTATATACAGTGAAGAAAACACTGAAAACTATCCATCAAATGCTTTCATCGAAGAAGATGGAACAAGTCTTCTGATTTCCTGTGCAAAGTGTCGTGTACGAGTTCATGCAAGTAAATAAACTATTTGTTCAGTTGGTAGAAATGTCATATCAAATTTTGTTTAACTGATAAAGTAATAATTAATGAGGCATCAGGTACATCAAAATACCCAACGAACATTTCCACATGTAATATTTAAAGGACCAGCCAAATCTTTTTATGAGCTATATTAAATATTCCATTATTAGTTAATGGTTGTTGCAAAAAAAAGAATTAGAACTTCTAAGTTAAGTATCCATAGCATTGAAAACAAGAAGAAAAAAAGCTCTTATAGTTAGAGTGTTTATAGTTATAGCCTGTCTAGCAGGCAATAAACTGACCTTTGTAAAATACACATTCATACCTTTGCTGCAGTCCCAAAGATCTCCCGTATCTTTGCGTGCAGTAATTGGAATAGCATTTGTTGAAGGATGATCACCTTTTAAACTTTTTCTTCTTCTGCCAAAGCTACAGTTCCAACTGTGAACTACGTTCAGGGTTCCCAGTTGCTTGGTTCAGTCTGAGGCAATTTTATACTCTCCAGGTRCAGTGACTTTGTCAGCTGTGATGACCTGGATTACCTTGTTAATGTTTCTGTAAACTTTTCAATAATTACGGACTCAAACTTCTGATTCTTTCTTCAATTCCTAGCTGTTAAATTCCTATTTTACTTCTGATACTTTAGCAACAGTATGATGTCAATATTTTTATTAAGTAGTCAAGGTTAAATGTTACTATATTTGAGGATGTGTGAATATTGCCACGTAATGTAGATATGTGGTAATTTCATCACCCATGTTCTTTTTTTATTTTGRGAGTGATCGATAGATGCACAAATTTTCGGTAGTATCTTCTACGGATGTTGGGACTCCCTGATGTCCACGTGAAATCCATATGGAAATACTATGTGACTGCATGGAGTGAATGTCAATGCACATATTTGAATTTTTCATTGTTACAGGACAGAGTTGGGTACTCTATATTAAACTGAAAGGAAATAGTAAATACTTTTTTTTTGAAGTTTGTGAAGCACATATAAATATAATTAATATATTCCATAGACTACTTGGAAATAGCTAACATTGCTACTGTAAAGAAGTGTTGTTGTAAATCAGCCTAACATTGCAAGGGTCACATGGTCACAGGAAATKAAGTGTACTGAATTGTATGACGCCATAGACAGGTAAAATAATTACTCATCCCAGCTCTCTTATTCTAGGTTGCTATGGTGTTCCTTCCCATGAAATCCATAGCGAATGGCTGTGTTCTCGATGCAGAAAAGCAGACTGGACAGCTGTAAGTTTCACATATCTAAAACATTACAGGTCAAAAAAAAAAAGTGGACAAATTCTTTGTGGAAAGTAGCTTGTGTATTTATTTTTTGTATGAAGACAGTTTTGTTAGAGAGGCGTTCGTTTGCAAAATATGATTAGATTGCAGTGTAAAATATAGTTACATTTTGACCTATGGAAACTTGGAGAAGTTTTAGGTGCTTAMGAAAAGTCTAGGTTAACAATAGTTCTGTATAAAGTAATGTTCAGGGAAACAACTGAACATTTAAATGTACCTAAGAGAGAGGTATTAAAGAAGAAAGAAATTAAATTTCCTCTAAATATTTTATGCTTTGAGTATGTATCTATGGCACCTGGGGAACTGAAAGGGAAATAGAATAGTAAATTGCAATCTAGAATGAAAGTGTTCTTTTACAGCATTTAAAGATGTACTTCAGTATGTCATCAGAAAAACATTTAATTCCTGAAGCTCCTAAATGCCTTTTGCTTGATATAATAATCAATGTGCAAGAGTTTTATGTAGAGTGAAATAAATAGATAAGTAAGTAATAATTGATGAAGTCTTCAAAATCTACATTTGTCTAAAAAAAATCAATTTAAAATTTTACATTTCACTATCAGTTGGCCTGCCAATGCAGCTAATATTTGTTTTCATTAAAACAGCTTGAGAAAATGCAATAATGAAATTTGATGGCAACACAGCTTTTTTTTTCATTCAGCTGTTGAATTAAAATCAGATAGTACAGATGCCTTAAAAATTTAAATATTTAACTGAAATGATAAAATTTTTAGATATGCTCAAGAAGAAATGAGGATTCRCACTCCTAGAAACTGTAATATCACTTTTCACACTTCATTTCTTGCAATTATGAACTCCACTTTTAAGATAACTAACAGTGATTGCATTAGCAAAGTAAAAGTAAGAAGAAATGTCTAAACTTTCATTTTTCTTTTGTACATGGTCAGCATTTTCAAGTTCCTTTGTGAATGTTGAGTATTAGGAAAATAATTGAGGAACTACCATTTACAGTGCATGTATCATGTAAGCTAGGCAAAACAAAAGGAAAAGAGTGACTTAGAACTGCACATTGCAAAAATCCTGTCTGTTTATAATGTTTAGTCCAGTGTTCTCTCGGAGAATAGCTATTAAAAATTTAGTGGATCAATTTCTGTCCTAGTAACATCTTACATGAGAAAAATTACAAATATCACATTAAAAAGTGGTATAGATAGCTATTTGAAACTCAAGAAAAGGCTTTCTTGGARGGCTAAATTATTTGCTTCAGATCAGGTGGTGGAAGAATAACTAGAATGTCAAGAACATAAAAAATTTAGTGCACAGACTTGATACTAATGTTGTCCAGTTAGAAAGACAATTTGTTTAATATAATGTAAATATCAGCTATTGCATATTGAACTGAATTGCTGTGATTTTGGAAATGTATGGAGAAATGTACAGCTAAAAAGCTAWTGCTGACAGCTTCCTATTTTTTTTTGAAACTCTAATTGTGACCTGGTGACCTGAACTGGTGCCCTCAAGAGAGTTTGTCATTGAAATGTCTCTGTGAAATAAAATTCACATTCTCAGTGTTGTATTTTGACCTTCAGTTGGGAAGTTTTACTCAGATGTTTGAAGACTGAATAGATATGTGGTGAAAACATGACTTTCCCATCCTTAGATCAGGTTTCTGAAGCAGCTGAGATGCTAATTAGTTGTGCCATGTATAGAAACTTTAAGTTATAGTATTGGTTCTTTCTCTACATACTTTTTTAATTTTTTGCATAGTCTCATTTTGCTTTCCGTTGGAGCAATAAATCTGACACCTCCCTTTAATAATAAATTTACTTAGAGGTTCTCCATTATAACCAGGTGTTCTTTTGTTGCTACATGTTGTTCCTATGTCAGTGTGAACTGTTCTTTATCAGCTGAAAGATGTTAGAAATGACAGATAATAGACTTGAAGTTTGCTTAGCCATCAGTGCTAAGTAACAAAAATCCTGTGGATTTTTAAAGGATGTGAATAAGGCTGTATATGGAATTCTACTGCTTACTCACATATGAGTTATACTCAGCTAATTTTTTTCTTTTTGAATATTAGGATGTCTGTAGACTCTAGAGCTGCCGAAGCAACCTCGGAACTGTTAGTGATTATGTCTGAGAATTTGCAGACTGAGCTGCCAGCAGCAGAAAAAAATAACATATTTTTTTTAAAGGAGAGGAAATGGCTGGCCATTATCAGCAGTAGCAGTCAGGCTAATTTGAATTCAGAAGAAATACTAAATTATCAATCTATCAATTTCTGTACAATAATGTTGTAAGTGCAAAGGGTTATGCATTTACCAACAAATGATATTAAAATATTTGATTTTTCTTTGCCATGACAGCTCCTGGGAATGAGGCATGAACATAAGATTTGATGGGTCCTGACTTTCATAGGCTTTTAATAATGCTTTAAATTTTGATATCCAAGACAGGGAAATAGAGCCATAGTTGACGGATATATTATGATATGGATTCACTTTCAAACCTCAGTATCTGAGTGGTCTGTGGACCACTTTTAATTACTTTTCATGTCTTATGAAACATACATGCAAATCTAGGCTGGTCGATTTAAAGTCATTTTAAGATGTCAAAGAATCATTTTAAGGTGACACAGCTGACCAGGAAATCTATTTTATGGGCAAATTCCATGGTGTTAAACTTGCAGAGTATGTCGAACTGTTCCACAACCCTCCAATATTATTAAATATATTCCTTTCTTGAGTTCTTTCAATATTTCAATAAAATTAAAGGACGAATAAAGCATTATTGCTGAATTTTCAGTGAATACAGAGGACCTCAGGCATTTTGCTGGATGTGGTTAGAAATAATATTGCTATACTGGAGAAATAATCTAAAATAAATTATGTGTAATTCAACAGAGATAGGTGAAATCCTGAAGAATTGTCAGCTGTGCACTAAAGAGATGGCAGTGCTCCCCTAGACAGGCGCTCCTGCTGCCCTGAGAGTGGTCAAAAACTGGACATGTTATCTGGTCTAAGAACATGTCTCCCATAACATCCTCATATGGAAGCTCCAGGAGTGTGGTCTGGACGAGTGCACAGTGCGGTGGATYGAGGGCTGGCTGGATGGCAGAGCTCAGAGGGTGGTGATAAATGGGGCCGAGTCCAGTTGGAGGCCTGTGGCCAGTGGTGTCCCCCAGGGGTCAGTGCTGGGCCCAGTGCTGTTCAATTTGTTCATCAATGACCTGGATGAGGGCACGGAGGCACCCTGAGCAAGTCTGCAGATGACACCAAGCTGGGTGGAGTGGCCGACACTCCGGAGGGCTGTGCTGCCATCCAGAGGGACCTGGACAGGCTGGAGAGTTGGGCAGAGAGGAACCTCCTGAGGTTCAATAAGGACAAGTGCAGGGTCCTGCACCTGGGCAGGAATAACTCCAGGCACCAGCACAGATTAGGGGCTGGAGAGCAGCTCCACGGGGAGGGACCTGGGAGTCCTGGTGGACACCAAGTTAGCCATGAGGCAGCAGGGCCCTCATGGCCAGGAAGGCCAATGGGCTCCTGGCTGCATGAGGAGGATGTTGGCAGCAGGGCAGGGAGGGGATCCTGCCCCTCTGCTCAGCTCTGGGGAGGCCAAACCTGGAGCACTGGGGGCAGCTCTGGGCTCCCCAGGACAAGAGGGACGTGGAGCTTCTCGAGAGGGTCCAGCGGAGAGCGACAAAGATGATTAAGGGACTGGAGCATCTCTCGTATGAGGAGAGACTGAGTGAGTTGGGCCTGTTTAGCTTGGAGAAGAGAAGACTGAGAGGGGATCTGATTAACATGTATAAGTTAACATGTATAGGCATCTTACAGGGATGCTTAAACTCCAGGCTGGGACTAAGTCCAGGAAAACATGAGGAACAATCTTGCTGCTCTGTTCAGCTTTGATGAGAGCCCAGCTGAAGAGTTTGACTGTGAGCACACATTCTTCAAAAAAGGAATTAGGCCAAATGGACTGGAAGATGAATAAATTGATATTAAAAAAAAAAACCTTTTCAGTAATTCTTCCTAGACTTTAATCGTTCCAGAAAGGAAGGCTGAAAAGGATTGAAATCACTCAATGGAGCCAGAAGACAGAAGGGAAATAGACAGTATTCTCTAACAAAACATGACATGCATACTTCAAAGAGAAACATAATAAGTTGTCATTCCTTCCTCCTAGGGACAATATGTGTTGTAGCAGCCTTAAACTGAATCAACAGATGTTATGTTAATCTCAAGAAATTTTATAAATTTCTATTTGTAAAAGTAGTGAAATAAAGACTGGAATATGGGATGTGTAGAGATTTTGCAGAATCTCCTTATTGAAGATGTAAAAMGATAGATTATTAAGCGAACTTTTTGTCAGGAGTAGTGGAAGAGGAGCTGCTTGTTCCTTGAAGCACAGAGATTAACTAGACACTGAGTTTTCTTTTTACCTATGATTCTCTTTTTTCATTGCCTGTTTGAATAGTATTATTCATATCTCATCTCCATATCTATGGAGAAAAGCTTGCTTGATACACAACCTGAATCTTTCAGTGCATTTTTGTGTGTAAGGAAACTCATTGCTGTTGTCTGCATTATAAAGCACTGCTGATAATTTTCAGGSTCCTATTTATCATGTTAGGGTCTGTCTTCTGTTTGCTTGGGGTTTGAAGAATAACCTTAAATTATCCTAAGAGCTTTCACTTCAAAATAGTGTGATACCTCACTAGTGTGAAGCCTTACACTTCAGGATAAATATGGTCCGCCTTTAACCAATCTTTTGATCATCAATACCTGTTATTGTACATATGATATTCAATTGTACTTTAATTTGCTTTTTAAATGACACTGGAAGGAGAGGCATAATTAATGAAAACTGCTTATTTGCAAAACTTATTTTTGCTTARGGGACTATAGAGTGAGTTCCTGTTCATGCGGTCCCTCCTATTCCAGTTTTTATGTGAGAAAAAAAGGGAAAAGAACACCTTATTCATC